ATTGAAAAAATGTTATATATTTCAAAAACCTTAACGCCCTTTATCTATGAAACGTGTACTTAAAATACATCCTGTACAGTATGTAGAAATGCTTATGCATTATATATCTGCTGCTGTTATAGATGTTGTATGATAATTAGCAGCACCTAAAATCTACGAAAAATAATGTCTACGGGGTCTACGGTTTCAATTTGAGTTTTCTACGAAATAGTTACTACTCCAAAGTTAAAAAGTTTCTAGGGTTGATTCCATAAGAAAGCCAATTAGTTCTGCTATAATTTATACCTCTATAGTTGCATGTGCACTAAGTTAAAAAAATAGAAATAGATATAAAAGCATATTTTCTTATAGTGGAGTCAATTAAATTCATATTGTTGCGTTTAATAGTAAGTATTTTAATTCACTATTTTAAATAAGTTTAACATTATCGTCATTAAATTGTTTAATTATAGGAATTACGTAGGTTTAATTTAACGTAATGAGTGAAAAATAGTCTACTTCATTTAAAAATTTTTATATTAACAACAGAACCGTTTGTAATTAATCTTGATAATTTGGAAGTTGAATCTTTTGAAACCCATTTTTGGAGCGATAATAAAAAACTTTTAATCAGTACTGCAATTTGGTTACCAATAGCTGAAACTTGAACTAACAGATGTACAAAAATTCAGTTCTATTGAAGGAAATCTAAAACAGGTGAAAACAAATTGATCATTTTGTTTTGCTAATGGGAATTGATAATATGCCATTGATAAAACCATTTTTTCAGAAAAACTCCTCCTTTCCTCAAAATTGACAATAATAAAATTGCACGTTTTGACCCAAATTTCTCTATTCTAAGTTTCAAAAAGACTGAATTATTACTTTGACAAGTAAAATTCTGTCAAGGTAGTTTGATTTAAGTCGGATTAATATCACTTAAGGAAACTACCTTCGAAATCTGGCTTTTTAATTTCCGGATACCCTGTATTTTATTTGAGATATTTGTTGGTTTATTTATTTTAAGGATTTCATTTTGAATACTTCGTTCTTCTTTTAAGAAATTGTTACATATTTGTTAAAAGCAAATTTTAATTTGATATTTAGGCATTTAATATATTATTTGTTTATTTGTTTATTCTTATATCAAATTTAAAATTTTCGAATGCTACTATAATACTTTTAATTTAACGATTAAGATATTGTTATTTATTCTTTATGCTTTAGAGAATAAAAAATTTAATTGACTCCACGTTAAATTATATGTAGTAACCGTTGTGCAATGTGCAGTCACATCTTCTATCGTCAAGGTGCAGTGCTATGTGATTTTAACTGATGCACAAACTTTCTTAAAGTCTAACTTTCCTACTTAAGGATTACTTTGATTCGAAAACTTTTAAAAACTAATTAAAATACGGCTTGCAGCGTGCAAATTGTCAGAGCAAAGCGAAGAGCAATTACTTTTCGGAGCAATGGGGAAAAGAATAACATTAGCAAGGAGAGCAGCAGAATTAATTGGCTGATATTCACGATCATTCCACGCTTATCCGCCGCTTTGGGATCTGCTGATTGCAGCTTTGTACGAGCTGTTAATAGTCTACACAAATTCGTGACGTTTGTTCCTTTTTTCGTGCTTTAAGGAGATAAAGTATATAAGTCTATTTTTTTATGTTTTGTTTAAATAATACTATGATTTCTGCATAAAATGATTAAGGGGCTTGCCACTATAAAAAATATCTACAGAAATAACTTTTCCAGGTTAACTGGCTTTTCATATATCTTCTAGTAAAGTAAACGAATGATGAACAACTTTAACATTTTTAAAAATTTTTAACAACGCAGAAACCATTGCGAATCATATTTATCAACATTTTTCACATATGATTTGTACTTTTTGTCTATTACAATAATAAACAAGTTTCTACATGCTATCACATTACAAAGAGTTCTGTTGTACTCAATGGATCTCACTCAATTTTACACGCTTCCAATCCACGCCAAGAAATCGCCACCAAGAAGCTCCAAAAGCACTTAGACAGGGCAGTACATGTTCGAGGATATTGAGCTTGTCATCCAAGTGTCCATACAGCGGTAGTCAAGAATCACGATTTTCGCCAATCTTTCACGGAGCTGAAAACCACTTCAGACACATCAAACTAGAGCAGACGTCGCTTATAAAGCCCTATTGTGGGTAGAGCAACTGCCGAAGTCTGCCGCGGAATAAAATCATTGATGTTTCCAATTTTCTGAGAAATCAGCCCTAAATTCACAGAAATCGCTTACCGACCACCAAACACACCATCCAATGGCCTGAAATAGCTGAAACAAAAAACCAAGCTCTCCCAGACGGACCAATTTCGCATTAGGAAAGTCAGAAGTCCTACCGTTCCAAAAGCAGCTGAAGTTCCAAAATCCGCAATGGGAATCTGGAGGAACTTTCGAGACCCGCGACTGAACGTCGGCCTTGGTCGTCCGCGGATTAGTAACCAGAATTAAGTGCCTGGCTAGTATATGTTAAATAACTTATCTTCAATACATGTTGCGAGCTCAATCTTAGATCTGAAGTGCTGAAAAGCTTACAAACAAAGGCTTTGAATGGACACAAAAAAACGTGAAGCACAAAACAAAATGTGCTCAAAAACAAAACAGTGCAAAAAGGCGCAGCGTCACTGAAAAGTGCCACTGAGAGTGATAGACAACCACAACAGAGCCTTTCTTACTCTTTGAACACCAGGTTCCAAATTCCAAGCTTTAGGAGAGAAAGCAGAAATGGAAAGAGGCCGACAAGCAAGAGGATCTAAAGCGTATTTTCTCCGAATACGATGCATTGTTGGAGGAATCCGCAGTAACCCAATTCCTCGCGGTCAAAGCTCTGAACCAGTGGAAAGAAAGAGATACGACAATACGTTGGTGTTTCATTTCATCTTTTAATTTACATTTAAATAAAATGGTTGTCCTTTTAATAACGTTTCCATTTGCTGCAATGTTTTGTCGAGAACTTACATTTGAATGCAGTATTGTTGCTGCACTTAATGATTTACGAAAATTAACTACAAATGTGCCGGCATCATATAAATTTATCATTATGAGAATAAGGTCCTTATTTAACTGACAAAGTATTCGGAAATGCTGATTAAACTCTCCTAGTAAATGAATAATTAATTTCTTTTCAAACATGGAAAAGCTTAGTCAATAAGTTGCATTAGTCTTCATAAAAAACCTAGATGCATATAATAACTTGTTGAATTGTGAAAATATAAATACCTACATATACAGGGTGTTAATGAACTTATGTCAAAAATTTAAAGGGGTGAAAAAGGAGCAAAAACTGAGTTAACTAAAGTCACAAACTTGTATCGGAAGTTTAAGGTCATAGAGAAAAAAGTTAATGAAAAATGTGTTTAAAACTGTTTTGGGACTGCTGAAATACATGTATTTTATCGCGGCGAGTACTTACAAAAAAACTCTGTAACACTTTTTACGAGTTTATAGGTTTCTTATGAAGCCGGATGGTATTCAAAAGTCAGTTTGTAACACATTGTTGTAGTGATTGCTGTACTGTTTTTCAAGAGTACATTTAATTACCGTATTTCCAAGTTTTATTTAGAAAATGGAGCATTTATTTAGCAATCGGCGATATTATGATGTGCTCATAATTTATGGCGAAATAAACGAAAATGCCCACAGAGCTTGTCAAATGTACCGTGCAAGATATCCTGAACGACGTGCCCCCGCACCGTGAACATTTGTTGCTGTGGCGCAAAGAGTTTTGGACACCAGTAAAGTACAACCGCGTCGAGGTCGCGATGGTGGCCCAAGGCGATCACTAAGAATCTTAAATGTCGAGGAGATGATTTTGGATCTCGTCGAAGAAGATCCGCATCGTGGCACCAGAAATATAGCACAGCAAGTAAATATTTCGCATCCTGTTGTGTGGCGGACATTACGAGAAGCTCTGTTGTACCCATTTCATATTCAACGTGTTCAAGCGCTTTAGATTTCTTTTTGTGGGGATATGTGAAAAGTGTTGTGTATTCCACAGAAATTCGTGACATCGACCAACTCCGACATCGTATTGCCGAAGCTTGTAATACGATTCGAGAGGACGTGGCAATGTTGCAATGTGTGCGAGCGAATTGGATACGTCGCGCTGAAGCTTGGGTGCAAGCAAATGGTGGGTACATCAAATATGTTGTATGAAAATCAACAGTTCTCAAAAGGTGGCTTCTTGCAATGTTGAAGTAACAAATCCGTGTATTTACCTTATTTTGACATAACGGATATGTGGCAAAAATATTTAACATAAGTTCATTAACACCCTGTAAATTAAGAGCAACTAATAGATTCTGAATTTATTTTCAGCAAGTGATTGGGACATATTAAATTATATTAACGCTACTTCACTTTTCTCTGACAATTGCACTTTTCCTGTAGTTAAAGTTGGGCTAATCTAAAGAAAATATATTTCATTCTTAAATATCTAATGTTACATACAATAGGCTTAATTTGAACTTGAGAGATATACTAAAACTATAGTCAGTACTCATTCCCTTCTACATACCACTAGGTCCATTCCGGATGCACTATGTAACTTTTGAAAGGCTTTCAGTCGACCAAATACACCAAACACAACTAGGTTATATCCCAGATGTATTTTTAACTCTGTTTGCCAAAATTGTTTTGACATTTTTAAACCTTTGCAGACCTAGAGGGATTAATTGAACTTTGATGCCTAAAACAGGGAAGTTTATTTATCAACATTGACAATCTAATAAACATTACGTAAAATGATTGTGTTACATTTTTGTCAGACAAAAAACTAATAATTAATAGATGTTCTTTTTCGGCATTCAAATTATTTTTGTATTTTATTCATTCAAAGTTGTTGTATTCATAACAAAATATTTTTTAATTCTGCCTGAACTGCATTTGGTACCCGAATGCCTTCCAAAACGTCTCCATGTCCTAAATAGGTTACATACAGAGTGCAGCGGTCTTGTATTTTTCCTCGGAGTACTGACCTCTTCGTCACCTACCTCGGCCTTTTTGGCCTTTGTATCGGCGACCTGCAAGGTGTCGTCCGGGGGCAGCCGCCACTCGTTCCGGTCTGCGTGCACATTGGCGTGCATCCCGTTATCCGCCCCGTCTCGCCACTCGTATTCGCCGCCACTGTCTCGACTCTACGCCACCTCTCGCGAAGAAAGACAGGACTGCTTCGGGGGTCGGCGGCAGCGCGTCCGTTTCTAGCCTGAAACAAAATTTAGTTTTTAGAAGGTCTTCTTCAAACCAAGGCAGATATAAATTTGTGATTTATCTATATCGGCCGCAATAAATTCATATTTAAGCCAAATAAGAGAACACTTTCACTTTAGTAAAGTATCTGGGAAGTTTGGAAGAAAGGCCCATGTTTCATTATGAAAAATAATATTTTTATTTTTTTTTATATAGGTATATTTGGACGCCATTTACTTGCTGAATTAGGACGATACTTTTGTGGATATACAAGGTGTTTTATAGTAAAATACAGCTTAACCAAACTCATCTTGTTCGCGAGATAGTAATAAAGAGGAGTAATAAAGACAGGAGACCATAACAATAGGGACCTCCTGTGGAAAAATTTTTATTTAGGTCTGGTAAATACAGTTACGTACTTAATCAATATTTTACATTCATTTAAATATTTGAGCAAATTTAAACCTATTTATGCCTATTTCAAAGTAAACTATCTGTTTCCTGATCCTATTTAATGACCATGAACTATAAAATTTATTTATTAATAAGTAATATACATATTTACAATTTAAAATTACAAAGTCATGCAAAATTCTTCACTTTCACTGTCGTTGGTATTAGAATTAAAGGTATTATCTTTATTCGAATCATCATCTTGAAGATTTAGAATAATTTGATCGATAGTCAAGTCGAGCACAGGTTCTACAGTCATTAATCATAATGTTTAAATTTTGGCATGTGGACAGCGAGTATTTCATGTTTGATTTGATGAACTTCATATACTTTAATTGCTGGATTATGCATTTCATAATCTCGACATGTGGATATGGGTCATTTTTCAACTTGCACAATGTGAACTGATGCATTGTCAATCATTAATACAGAACATGGCAGCAAATTTAGTAAAATTTTCGTAACTTTGATAGTTCACGTCATCATGTTAGTCCTCTGACTTAGCTTTTGAATTAAAAATTAGTTTCGCATTTGGTATAAAACCAAATTCAGCATAAACTAAACTAAACTAAACTAATGAACTAAATATTATCCTTTTGTTGTTCGGGAGCTCATAGTTGTTTTCATCACTACAAGCATTTTCATGGGTGTGTGAAGAATGAATATACGTCTCATCCAAACAAACAATTGGTCGACTCTCATCCCGGTATAGTTTCATTCATTCTTAAAACATTTAATTTCAAGTTTCGGATGTCATGACATTTTATATTATTTAATTAATAAAGTCGTCAGCTCATCTTTGTTTTTCGCTACCAGAAGAGTATGGTGTGCCAAAGCTTACACAAACTTTCGCTGTATCATGGAACTTTCTTACACTGTTTGCAATATAATTTCTCTTGCTTTAAAGTATTCTTTACTGTATCACATTCAGTTTCCGGACTCATAAGTGATTTTAATTCCATAGTACAAACAACTTTCCTCAGACTCTATCGATGTTCAAAATTCAACGTTTCGACAGAGAATGAGCTCTAGTGCTAATCTGGTAACAATGCCACTGCGCATCTGAAACTGGTGATGTCAAGAAATATATATTTTTTATCAATTATAACATTGTCTGGGCAAGATACAGGGTGTTAAATTTTATTTTTTTTAATGAATTTAATTAAAAATATAATAATAATAATAATAATAATAATAATAATAATAATAATAATAATAATAATAATAATAATAATAATAATAATAATAATAATAATAATAATAATAATAATAATAATAATAATAATAATAATAATAATAATAATAATAATAATAATAATAATAATACTACTACTACTACTACTACTACTACTACTACTACTACTACTACTACTACTACTACTACTAATAATAATAATAATAATAATAATAATATACAAGAATAATTAATATGTATTGAAATTAGGTAGGTGTGTATTTTAACATGTGCTGAATATCTTTCTTCAATTAGTTTTTAAACAACTTATAACAGAACATATAAAGTTTCTGGTTTTTGAACAGAATAAATTTTCAGCAACTGAATAATTACACTATAAAATAACGACCTTAAATTTCACATATTCAGAATGCCAAGTAGATTGTTCCTCGATTCTTTCTAATTCAAAAATAGTTTGTATTCCAACATAACCAACAAGACATAAATCAATATTTCAAAAAATTATCCATTAAAGTTGAAATAAAACAAGTCTAGGAAAAGCTTAGCGTTGGCTGTCTGAAAAGCTGCAACATTTTGGCTGTTTTGTATTGGCTTACGGTTTTATCCCCTTTCTTGGGAAATTAAAACTTATCTTAAAAAAGTGTTTTATTAGTTTCCAACGCAGAGGCTGTTTTCAGGCGTTGTTTTCAGGAAAATATTTCAAGTTAGTTATAAAATATAGATAATAAATATGAAAGATAAAAATTCCTTAAACGTAGGTGACGGAACTTCCAAGTTAAAGATAAATCTCTTAATAAATATAATAATTAATAGTTCTATTTTTAGAAAATAAATAAGGGTAATATCTAAGGCATAAGGAGCGACCATATTATTTGCTAGTAGTTTGTAAATAATCTGTCTAACTGAGTCGAAATATAAATTGTTATATAACAATTAAACACAAAATATAGTTAATAAATAGTAAAATTCCTCAAAATGTTACAAGAGTGAGTTTTTAATAAAAAAAAATTAGAATTGATGTCAACCTTTTTTTTCGCGAACTCCGTCAAAAAATTTTTTATATTCATGTAACTTCTTATCTTAAATCTTAGATTAATCAGAGTTGGAGTAAAAATACTTTAGTTTTAGTTAGAGTTGATATAGTACATTACCATTGTTACCATATTTACATTGGAATTTATAGATTAGTAAATTAAAAATTTGCTTATACACAGTATATGACAGAACATTAGTAAGTGCGAAAATAACAAGGCTTCAGGATTAAGCTAGTTACGGTTTTTAGTTTTTATATAAACGAAAGAGAATTGTGGAATACTGGAAACGAATCGAATTGTTCAATTAATAATTGCATTTTTTTTCGTTTCTAGCCTAATAGATCCCTTCACGTACATTTTAAGTGGTGGTAATGTTAACTGCCAGTAATTGCTAGTTTCGCAATACATTAGATCTAGTGGCAATAAAACACTAACATAAATATCTTACTTTGATGAATCACAAGTTCGAATTGTTTATGTTTATCATCGATCATAGAATCAATTGTGTATTTGTCTTTACAGTCGGTAGAAAAATAGTTCTAATACATAAACTTTCCCAAACTACGTTATTCGACGCTTTTAATTCGAAGAGAAAAATGAACAAAAAATTATGAATTACCTGTCCAAAAATGTACATAAACCTTTAAAAGTTTCCAATAATTTATTTGAATATCGAAGTATACGCACTTCTGGAATTATTTAAAGAATTTAAAAATAATTTGTTGACAATAGGGTTTGCAATCCCGCATTCCGCGTTACAGCATTCTAGCAATTTCCCGCATATCAATGAGACCTGCGGAATTCTCGCATTTCTGCGGAAATTCCCGCGCGGGAAATTTTTGAATAGAATACGTCCGTTTAGCGACATCGCGCACGGCGCGCGCGAGTGCACCGTTCGGTTTGCGTGCGCATCCTGTTCCCCTGTGATAGCATCGATCAATCGAACGAAGGAAAAGTTTAAAATCGGCTGATCTTTGCATTATTCAAACAAATTCCTTGATTAGTTTTTTTATTTTCGAGAAAAAAAGTGAAATTTTATATGTAACTAATAGTTTTGTCTTCTTGTATGTTACTTTAATTATACTACACTGCCCTACTTCGGAAAAAGACCGTAAATGCAGTTTTGTGACAAATTGAGATAATTACATTTTCGAAATCTATATCGCATTATACATTACCCATCTATAAATATCAAAAATATTGTTTTTGTTTCTTTAAATTTAAAAATTTGTACATTTTAAATTTCTAATATTGTGCCACTTAGCAGACTTATGTACATGTATTTCACTAAGAGGTACACAATATAAACGCCGCATGTGACCACATACGGCTTTCTACTCTAGCAGAGGCCTGAAATACGATGTTTTTAACAAATTAAATTCGTATGTGTTTACATGCGATATTTTAAATTAAACAACAATTAAATATTATTTGCAACACAATATATTAAAAACTGTAAAATACTCTGTAAAAACATCCAATCATGTATAGGATGTACATGTTATGGTTCTTCTATTAATTTCTGTTGAAAATGTACGGCATTTTTACCTAGCAAAATCTTAAATTTATTAAGACAAAACAACACTTTAGACGCTGTTTTTATTGAAATTGTAATGTTTTCTAACATTCTTCAAATACATTAAAAAATATTTGTTTTTCATTTGCCGTTACCGAAAAAATCAAGTTATTACCTTAATTGGTAAATGAATGACAGCCAAATAAAGCATGCCTAATATCTCCTTGCAATATTCTTTAAACTATCTAGCAAATATTTTTTTTTAGAAATCATTACTACGATTAAATTACTAACCTAACCTAACTTATTTAGAAAAATATACAGAGCGGTCTGTAAGTATTGGTGCATAGATTCTAGATTTATGGGCTCAATAAAATGTTATTAATAAAAAATATACAGGATACTATCAATATTTTATTTAGACATATTAATTAATAAGATTTTAAGTAATTAATTATTATTATTCTTTTAATTTTGTATATCTTTCCAAATTAATTTGAATTTATCCTTCAAATAGGGTAACGTACTTTAACCTATTGTCATCCTAACAAAGGTACATACAAAATTTGACAAACTAATCACTTTCATAGATTATGAAACGTAATATAGGTGTGACAGGAAAAACGTATCCAATTAACTTTCCAGTGCATATTCATTATTCCAGCTTGTCTATATAGATCGAACTTTTTATACCATATT